CAGAGAGCAGAAGGAGCAGAACCTACCGGGTGATTTGGAGCGGTGCCGCCTGTCCCTGGAGCGGCTGCGGTGGCGCCGCGGGCTCTTGCTGCGGTGGCGCTCTCTGCGAGGCGACGGGCTGTTCGGACAAAACAAAACACGTTTAGAGTCCGAGCAGAACCCAAACCGGCGTCGGGTCAACGGAGACGGGAGTCGAACCTTCGTCTCTTGGGCGATCGGCTCCGCCTGAAAGGCAAACAGTCAGGTTAGCGTCGCCGCGGCAACAGATCGGCTCTGATCGATAAACAGGCGACAACGAACCGGCGAGGAGAGCGGCTGCGTCTGTAGCGAGGCGACGGCGAGCGCCGAGGCCGGTCGTTGTCACGGTGACCGCGTCTGTGGGGCTCCGGGCTCGGCAGCCTCTCGAACTGCAGACCGGAGAGGAACAGGAAAAATTTAAAACATTGAATGAAAGGAGAAACTTTCTGTCATTTATAGGAACTTCATGGTTAAACGTCTTTAAAGAGCAGAATTATGAGACCTTCTCCTCTTCCTCGTCCTCTTCCTCGCTGCTCTCCACCTCGTCCAGGTCCTCCTCCAGAGCGCTGACCCGCGGGTCCAGCATCTCGGCTTCCTCCAGAACCTGCCTCTTCTGCAGCACAAAGAACAACATGGAGTCACCTTGAATCGGACCAGGGCGTGAAGAAGAAGGTTCAAACACACTTCCTGTCTGAACCGATCCGGACCAGACCGGACCGGACCGGACCGGACCGGACGGCTGGACAGACAAACAGACCTGGAGCCGCGGCAGGATGATGTCACACACTCTCTCTGCGTGAAGCAGCTCATCGATGAACTCGTCAACATGCATCAGCTCAAACTCTGGAGGGGGAAAACACACACACACACACACACACACACACACACACACACACACAGATCGAAGGTTTTTACAGATTTGAACTCAACCTGCTCCACTGGCAGGAAAAGTTTCAGTTCATATTTTCTTCTAAATGATCTTTTAAGTTTTAAATCTGAATCTTTTCCTGGCAAAAGATTCAGACATAAACCAGGAAGTAAATGCACCGATCAGATATTAATATTTGTATCGGTCCTGATGCTACGAGTATCGTTGAGGGCAGATCTATTCAATCTATTTCTATGCTGTATTATTTATTTAGAATTCCTAATTGCAGTTTCTGAACATTTGACTGAAAGTTTATTTTTGTATTTTTACATTTGACCAACATAATCAGCTTGTTGTTTTTGTCAGTTTCATTTTCTTTATTATTTATTTTACACTGTCTGTTATAATCTTAACTGCACTGAAGAAATTAAAGTTGCTTTCACATGTCTGACCAAGCTGGTGAAAATATTCATGTATCTCAGTTTGCTGATAATTTTGCAGTCCTCAGATAAATTTGTAATTCAGAACATTAATGTTTCTGTTTAAAAACAGAAATGTTTTAAGTTAAATCAGCTGGTTTTCTGTATCAGATCGGTCGGTACTGATCCTCAGGTATCAGCAGTGAAAAGGCGGATCAGTTCATCTCTACATGACATCACTGACATAATTCATGCGTAAAAGAAACCAGATGTGGCTTCAATCTAAAGAATCTTTTGGGTTTCCCGTCTTTTCCCAGAAATCCTCTGGGTTCTGGTCTCAGTGGATCTCCACCGGCTCACCTCCGTTCCGGTTCTGACTCTTAATCTTTCTGTAGTCGTTGTAGAGCGGCTCCAGGTACTTGTAGCAGTCCACGGCGGTACCAGTCAGCCTCATGTACATGGCTCCCAGCAGACGGACGTACCTGAGGAAACAGACAGGAAACATTTCCTCTGAACTTCATGGACCAGCGGCAGGTCCAGCAGGTCCGGCTGACCTACAGCTTCTCTAGAAAAGCCTGAAATCTGGAGGAATCTCACTTAAAATCCTCGTTTTTGATGAACTCCACGATGATGTCTTTCTCCGGCTGGATCTGGAGCATCTTCAGCGTGAGGCAGAGGAACGGAGTCGGCTTGATGTTCCCGCCATAAACTCCTCCCACAAACTTCAGCTCCATGGCTTTGTCCACCACCAGCTCCGCTGCACACAGACAGACAACAAACTGAATTTACTGAAACCAAAACCATCTGCTGGGGGAGAGACTGAGGAACCAAACATGAAGTCAGAGATGAACTCAGAAACATCAAACTGGGAGAGAGCTAACGTTTGTAGTTGGAAACCAAAAATGGGTTCAGTACTGATCACATCTTTAGCAATGAAAACATTGCTGATAAGCAGAATAAATAAATATGATACAAAACAATAACTAGAAATGCTGCTAGTTTATTTAATATGAAGATAATTAACTGATTCCATAAATTAGTGATCAGGTGTTACTTTATCTGCAGGATCAGTGGAATAATTGTTCTTAACTAAGTAAGGAAAGCTAATCATGGTGCAAAGTTTTATTTCTGTGTACAAACTGCTGACATTGTGTCTGTATTTTACTTCATAAAGCCAAAGGAAAAATTCAACCTCAATAGAGAACAAAGTTTTATCTGATCTTTATTATAATGTAAAGTTTCTTGCTTGTTGTTTTTTGTTTTCGTCTCAAAGGAAAAGGCAATTTAGTACCATATTAACTTAAATTAAAAACAACTATTTTGCAGAAAACGTTAATAAAAAAAATATCCAAATGTAATGCGTTGAGAAAACCTGTATTTTAACCATAATTACCACCGTCAAGCAGCCCTGCAGGGGTTAAATGAAATCTCGTTGAGGTTAGCCTTCAGGGAGCTAACATGCTAACTCACTGACCGGTCAGACCGAAACATTCCTCCTTCCAGTATTTGGACTCATAGATTCGGGTCCGGATGATTTTCTCCACCAGGTATTGCGGGTTGGTTCCATGGATGCTGTTTGCATCTTTAACGGTCCTGTTTGCCATCGGAGGGAAACTCTGTTAGCAACGAGGCAAACACAAGCTAACAGAGGAAACGTCGAAAATCACTTCCGGTTCAGTTGTGTGGAGGGCGGGGGGGAAACAATGCCCATCCTGTCCAGTAGGAGCCACTGTTTTACTAAAAATTACTCGATTCAAATCACTTTGCTACAGTAACAACTTTTTACTAATAAATAGAAATAAAAATAATAAAAACTAGTAACATTTTTTATTTATTTCAATAACTTCATCATAAAGTGAAACACTTTATATAGCCTTCAAGCTCTTATTTCTATTAATTATGATTTTAAATGAAGGCTCATTAAAAACCTTTAAGGTTGGAATATTATGTCAGACCACTAAAAACATTTAAAATTCAGAAATATAGATTTAGATACAATTGATTAAAACCTTCTGAAAATTGCTTTTTAACTTGATAAACGAGTCTCACTGAAACTAAAAGTCTGATTTACTGAATATGTCTGTATATTTCTGTTTGATCTCAGTTGTAAAAATATTCAATCCATTTAGGTTTATCATACCAGTCGGTTAAAAAAGAAAATATGTTTCAGGAAACTGCAGCAATTTCTCATTCTTACTATTTGTTGTATGAGTGCAGTGAACATTCAATATTGAACCAAACGCATTTTAAGGAAATAAAACATCATGATCCTTTGTCTAATAAAATATAGGAGAGGATAACATTGCTTTCATCTTATAGTCTATAATACTTATGTAGTTTATATACTTACATCAAGATGGTTTAAATCAGCTCCAGGCTTTTTTCTGCATTGGCCTGAGATGCATGGAGTTTATGAAGCTCCGTCTGGACTGTCCATTTAAAACTCCATTCAGAAAAAGTTCAGGTCACAGCTAAATGAAATTTGCAACAACAACAACAAAAATGGCTTTGGCCATCTAAACCTCCACTCCTATGTCTAAAAACAAAGGGTGAACAGATCAGCGGGATTGGAACATCCAATATATTATAAATATTACTGAGAACATAATTAGAATATAAATGGATGAACACTGAACAAATACTTTCTCAGGTAATCTGTTTCTCAGATATTATCTTGTAAATTAAACAGTATAGTTTCAGATGCCAGTATCAGAACGCCTGACAATCTGATGGAAATATCTCACGATGAACAGGTCTTCAGTTCTCATATGCAAAAGAAAAACCAAATGTATCCAAACTGGAACAATATGGCTACTTTAAAAGCATTAATATCAGTTCATCTCTGACAGCCTGAATATCTGAACATGAATAGATTTTCAGTTCCACCATGCAAATGAACGCTGTATTTCAGATATCAGCCTAGGAACCAAACACTAACAGAAGCTACTTTAAAACGTTGGTATCAGTACATCTCTAACAGCCTGGTGGGAATTTCTCAACGCGAATAGGTTTTCAGTTTTGCCATACAAATAAGCAACAGTTTGGAACAACGGATGCATCCTGCAAAAAGGCTCTTAGCTTTTCAACATGGAAGAGTAAAAGGAATCAGTTATTTGGAGGACACATTTAGTGGAAATGATGTCAGACCCTTCAATGTTTTCAAAGACCCATATTGGTAAAAAATAGTTTCTTTGAATGTCACTAACTCAAATCTTTTATTCAGTTCTAATTTAAGATTAGACTAACATAGAATTTCCTCTAGTTGTAAGTACTTTTCTTGAGCTTTAGCCAAATGTAATCAAACTGGATGGGATGTTTATCTGATGACAGTCGATATGCCCTCTGACCCTTTGACCCTGCTGCTTGTTTGTAGCTTTTGCCTAAAAGTTTGTTCATTTGTCTTGTTTGTTAAAAGTTTGATCTATCAATATCCAAAGAGAACACCGTCCCAGTCTGCCCTCATTTTGCCGTTTTGGGAATGTCACAAAAGTGGAATTTGGAAATAAAAATATGCCACAAGCTTCTTGCATAACCTTACAGTTTAAATATAATTTCTTCAGTTGATTTGAAGTGATGAGAGAATGGCTGTTCCTGCAGTGCCTGGTGTTTTTTTGCTCCTGACTCTGGGATCTGATGTTAGCTGCAATGTCATGAAGTACTGGAACATGCCATAAAGATCTCAGACAAACAGGACAGGCTTTTCAGTTTTATTTTATTATATCAGTATTTTAAATGCATGTCATCTATTAATCTCAAATAACAACAAACGCCTTTCATTAATTTTGAACTTCTCACCATTAACCATAATTGACTGTACATAAAAGAATTACTTTCTAAAAGATCAGTTATATTTTGTCCTAAACCATTTTTCAAATCTTTGACATCTCACTTAATATGAAAAATTATGCTATAATGGGAACACTTTTTTATTAAGGTCTAATTACATTTTCTTACTACTTAAACATCCAAAGATTATAATTTTAGTGAGAAAGCTTTAAAACAAATCATTCAGTCAGTTTATTATTTCCTTTTCTCAGACTGATTATATTTCTACACTTTCACAGGATGATGCATCGTCCTGCTGCTCCCTCTGATCTCACTGCTAAAACTAAAGCCTCCACCAGATAAGCTGCGATTTTCGGCAGCTGCTCCATCCCTCTGTCACCCTGAGCTCCCATGGCAGGCGACCCGCTGAACTGCTGAAGAACTTGATGAATGAACCAGTTGTCGCTCTCTGCTCTTCTTCTGGCTTCTTCATTCTCCAGGTTTGGGTTTTCTCTCAAAATGATCTGCATCGTATCTTTGATGGCTTTCTCTGCTTCTTGAAACATTTCATTTGTGTAACATCTTCCTTCATTATTCTCAATCATCTCCTGGAGCTTTTGGAGCAGCTCTTCCACCTGAGATGGATCAATCTTCCTGTTGTTGAACACGTGATATCTTCCACCACACTGCCTGACAAAAGCTGCAACTTCTTCATTTTGTATGAGGAGTTTCTCTATGGAGGTTCCTTCTTCCTCCAGGTCGTCTCCATGGCTGAACAGCACCATGGTGTGATCTGCCGCCTTTTCTCCAAACGTCTTCTGAATGAGTTTCACTGTTTCTTGTTCTTCCTTGGTGAATCTGTGAGGCTGGATCACCACCAGAAACACATGAGGACCCGGAGCTGATAACATGATGCACTTAGTGAGCTCTTTTATCACTTCTTCTTCAGTTGCATTTGTTTCAAACAGACCTGGAGTATCAACAATAGCCACAGTTTGTCCATAAATCTCCTCTTTTTTCTTCTGACATGCTGATGTCAGAGAGGTGAAAGACAGCTTGGATGGAAAAACTTTCTGTAAGATGGTATTCCCTGATGCACTTTTGCCAGATCCTGTTTTTCCAACTAACACAATGCGGATCTGTTGATCTATGTTTGATTCCTCACCACCTGTTAAGAAAACATTATGTTTAAAAAACAGTTTGTCAAGGACTTATTTCAGATGTTTTAGTTTTATCTCAGTCAATATTTTAAAGAGAACCCTTTTCTATGAGTGATAGAAAATGGACTGACAGAAACTAGGAGACAAAATGACCGACTTGGTTGTGTTTCACTCGGGTCTCCCAGATATGAACACAAATATCAACATTTTAATTTTCAGATACGGTCCACCCATTATCTCTTGCTTATGCGGGGTAGGGTCACAGGTCAAACATCGTCCCTCCAACATGTTCCTGGGTCTTCCTCGTGAACACTGAGATCCTCTGCCTGTGGCAGGAAGTCCTCTCCAACAAAGTTTAGATTCATGATGAGGCATAAACTCACAGCTGTGAACCTGTTGAAAACCATGTTCAGTTAGTTTGCTCAGTCTAGACCTGATCCGTCTGATCCTCCTGAGTCTTGTGATGTTCCAAATTTCTCACCTTCGTTCAAGGCTCTGAGTCAACAGAGCTGTGACTGTAATGTAGAAACATCATCCATCCCCCCAAAATCTGACACGTTATCATTTAAATGAGTTTTTATTTGCTTATTGACCATTTACAAATGAAAGGTTTGACATGCACGTCCTTCTGTGGGGCTCCTGAGATCCACATCTGTTTAAAAACCAGCATGTTTAAAGAGAAGATAGTTTTGTTTTCAGTGTTTGGAATTAGACTAGTTGGCTTTGGTTTAACCTGTTCAGTAATATGCCTTATGCATTCTATTAGGAACAAACAACAAACAATTAGTAAAGAAACCAGAGTAATTATTATTAACGCTCCCACTCAAAGCTTCATCAGCTTCTTATATTATCCCCAGTCGTCTCCCAACTGCAAAGCCAATAGCAGCTCCAATAACGGCGCATTGCCCAAAGCTCAGCTTCCTTCTGATCTGAAAAAGAATTTCAGCTACTTGAAAGACAAGCCTTTTAATAATCTGGGTGGTAAAATGGTCATGCAATGCTCTTGCTCTGTCTTTGTTCCCCATAGTTTGATTTTCTCTGAGAACGGCTTGTATTCCTTCCTGAATCTCCTTCTTTGCTTCCTGCAGCATTTCAGTGGTGAAGCATCTTCCTCCATTTTTCTCAGTCATCTTGTTGATCTTCTTCAGCAGCTCTTTCACCTGAGCGCGATCTTTGTTTCTGTTGTTAAACACATGATATCTTCCACCACACTGCGTGATGAACTGGCTGACATCGTCTCTCCCTGTGATTAATTCTTCTATGGAGGCTCCGTCTGCCTCCAGGTCGTCTCCATGAGTGAAGAGCACCAGAGTGAAATCTGCTGCTGTTTCTCCAAAAATCTTCTGGATGATTTTCATGTTTTCTTCTTCTTCTTTTGAGAATCGTTTTAACTCGGTGACGACCAGGAACGCGTGAGGACCAGGAGGGGTGAGAGCGATGCACTTCATGAACTCAGGAATAATCTCCTTCTCAGGTTTGTTGATGTCAAACAGTCCTGGAGTATCAACCACAGCCAGGCGTTGACCTTCAAACATTCCTGTTTCCCTCCGACACTCTGACGTCACAGAGGAAAATGAAGCCTTGGATTCAAAAGCTTTCTGTTGTAAAATGGTGTTTCCTGTTGCACTTTTTCCAGATTTTATATTCCCAATTAAGACGATCCGGATTTGCTGAGCTTCAGCTTCTAGTTGAGGTTCTGCTGCTGTGGCTTCATCTGGACCTGAATGAGAATTTTAAGTGGATATTAAAGCTGTAGTAAGGAAAGGTAAAACTCTCTAACATCATTTGCTAAACACAGAAACAAATCCAGATTCTGGTGAGTCCATCAGAATGAATGAACTATTTAACAGATTCTAGATGCATTTTTATTGCCATTTATTACAGTGAAACCTTTTTTTACCAAAGAACTCTGGAGAAAGATACTTGTTGTCAACAGCCGTTATATTTAATCATTTTTAATGTCTAAAACATTTTTCATTTATAAATATCTGCTTGATTTTCAGCCACTTGATGCAGAAACAATTTTTCTTGTTAGGAATTCAGTTTTTCAACTTCACTGCAATATGTAGAGTCAGGGAGAGCGGTTGTTGGGAAATTACAGTCAGAATTTACAGCAATAATTTGGGTTTTGTAAGAAAAAAAATGGGAGTTTGTTTTTCAAACTCATATTTTCCCATGTAATCCATTCATTTGTAAATGTCACAGTTTTAAACATTTAATGAGTATACCAAACACAATATTCAAATTCACTTTCAAAACACCTGAAGTGGACTACCAAAATAAAAGCTGGCTCTTCCAAACCTCTTTATATACACTCCTGTTTTCAAATGGCTTCATGTCACCTCCTCATCATCGCCTCTTTCTCTCTTTTCTTGTGCAACTTTTCAGCTTAAAACAAAGAATGAGTCATTTTAAAAGCAAAACAGCCATTTAGCAGCATCAGTGATGCATCAGAAGGATTCAGCTTCACCAACAGGAATTTATATAGACATCAACAAGACCCAGCTTTCAGTTTAAGTTTACTTTTTCTTATTGGAAAGTAAATTTGGATATTGAGCTAGATAAATATTTACTTTTTTATTTAGCTAACTCAGAGCTAGCTAACTATTCAAGGCCCCAACACTCTTGGGCTTATTTCACTCCATGGTAGACGACGGGTCCTGAGCAGAAACGTAGCAGACAGCAAAAGAGGCGGTGTAATCAGAATGTATATTAACATGACTGAAAGCACCAAGACCTTCCCTCTGGCTCTGATTGGTTGTTTTTGACCCAGAGCAGTGCATTTCTGCAGATACCAGTAGCTCCACAAGGAGAAGACATACTAAACTGTCACAACATAGTCACAATTTTAACCAATACAAAAAAGTCTAAAAAAATAAAATAAAATTACAAATTGCAGCTTTAATGTCAACAATAAATTGCCAAGTTAAACAAACAACTTGCTACTCTAAGAAAGGTTTCTGTAAATAACTCTTTGTTCATGTTGCTGAAACAGTAAAGATATCAAACCCGCCATTCAGAAGGAGATTTGCATAAAACAGATTCTATTTATAAAACCTTTATCAAAAACAGAAACATTAAACAGATAAAGAAAAAATGGTCTAAATTTAAAATAAAACATTACAAAAAACTGGTAAATGAGCCTAGAGCAACACAAAGACAGAACCATGTAAACACACATTTATATTGACCAAAGACTGTTTTGGTCGCCACACATGACCAAAACACGGCCTGGAAAACACAAACTGACCAAATTTAGTTTACTTAATGATGAAAGATACAACTAAACAGAAAAAATGTTCAGTTGTATTTTCATTTCACAGTGTGTCACAACACTTAAAATAAATTTGACTTTGTAATTTAGAATCTTTAAATTGGGCCTCTGTCTCTTTAAAAGCTCCTGCTCTTTCTGAGGCTCCACCTTCAGGAAGTCATCCCATCATGGCTCCTCTATTAACCCTTTAACAAAGTTTTATCAGTGTTGCTCTGAGCAGCAGCTCCTTTAATGAGCTCAGTAGAGGTGCAGCTCCACCAGGTGTCTGCTAATTGCTGCTGGCTAGTCTGAAGGAGCTGAATGAGGGAGTCACAGGTGAGAGCTGCTCTGTGAGACAGAGGTTCTGCAGCTCTGAGGAGGAGCTGCACCTCAAAGGTGGGACTTTGAGGTGCCTTTAATGTGTTCTGCATATTAAAAGATTTCTCAAACATGAATAAAAGACTCAAGGCAACACTCCAGGCATTGAATGGAAGAATTATAAAATAATGTAAAAGTTGGGGGGTGCAGTGGTGGCACAGGGGCTAAGCACAGCCCATGTAAGGAGGCCCTAGTCCTCAACGTGGCCGTCGCAGGTTCGATTCCCAGCCTGATGACCTTCGCCGCATGTCTTCCTTCTCTCTCATTGCCCTACTTTCCTGTCATAACACTTTCAAATAAAAGCCACTAGAGCAAAAGAAAAAAAACCTTTGAAAACTGCCCCTTCAAAATGACATGTTTAGACAAGCTATTACTGTTAACAGTTGATGAATAAAGATGTCTTGGCCATAAAACGATCAACCAAGCAAAACATGATCAGACGAAGATTAAACGGTAAAATGGTTACTGAAGAAGTTAATGTTGCGTTTAGCATCACTGTAGAATGCAGCCTGTTTGAGCATTAACATAGATCCTTGTAAAAGAGATTAAACCTCCCAATGCAGCCATGAGTCCTGCTGCAGCTGCAGATCCAGGCCCTGCAGCTCCAAACTGCTAAGCTGCTAAGCCAACTGCAGCTCCAGCAGCTACATACTGCATAACCTCTGTAATGAACCAGTTGTCATTCTCTGCTATTCTTCTTGCATCTTCAAGCTCCATGTTGGTATTTTCTGCCAGAACAATCTGCATTTCATCTTTAATGGCTCTTTCTGCTTCTTGAAACAGCTCATTAGTGAAGCATCTTCCTCCATTTGCTCAGTCATCCTGTTGATCTTCTCCAGTAGTTCTCTGACCTGAGTGGGATCTTTGTTTCTGTTGTTAAATACATGATATCTTCCACCACACTGACTGATGAAGTCCATTACATCTTTGTTTATTTGAAATAATTCTTCTATGGCGGTTCCTTCTTCTTCCAGATTGTCCCCACCCGTAAACAGGACCATGGAATAATCTGCTGCTTTTTCTCCAAAAATCTTCTGAAGGGTTTTCAGTGTTTCTTGTTCCTCCTCTGTAAATCTTTTTATCTCAATCACCATCAAGAACACATGAGGACCAGGAGCAGCGTAGGAGATGGAGATGGATTTAACAATCTCCTTAATAACATCTTCCTTCGTTTTCTTGGTGTCAAACAAACCTGGAGTATCAACTACAGCCAGGGATTGACCTTCAAAATCTCCCTTCTCCTTCTGGCACTCTGCTGTTACAGAGGAATAAGAAATCTTGGAATCAAACACCTTTTTTTTGTAAAATGGTGTTTCCTGTTGCACTTTTCCCACAACCCGTTTTCCCGACTAACACAATTCTGATCTGCTGGTCATCTGGTTCCTCTTGAACTGTGGGTTGGTCTGATTGTTCTGGTTCCTTCAAACCTGTTAATGAATTGAATAAATATATGGGTGCAGTAAAGAACGACTTCTTTTTTAATCTTTGTCTCCCCCTCACACCTCAAGATGGATTTACTGTTTTGCAAGTAAGAAAAATGAACAAGAAACAAGGTATTTCTGCGGTTTGTCTTATTTTCTTGAGTGAAAGGCTTATCTAAGCATTTTTAATGGTCAATGAATTAATATTTTCTATGACTGTGTGAAGATTTCTATGATCAAACAGAAAATTGTTTTCCTGCCACACCCTGACAGGAGTGATGGTTTAGTGCTGCAGTAATTCCTCATTTATCTTACAATTCCAGAACAATCATACTGTCAGGATATATTATATCATTTTAAAGATTATAGTCCCAGAACAATAAACATGATTTATTTTAAGTTATTTGTGAACAATAATTTATTGACATTTACTAAGTTGTTTATAACTTCACTAAAACAATCAAAAGGATGCAAAACAAGATCAGTTTCTGTTTTCTAAGATGTAAAGTTTCTAAAGGTTACCTTTGAGATGCTTTGTTAATTCATTAAACTCTAACCCTTAAATATAGTAAATCTATTTTATGTGAAGATTGAATATGTTTGAAATGAACAGGAAAATGTCTTGATATGAAATCAATCTGGGTGAAAGATTTAAAAGCTTTTAGCTAAAACAACACTAATATAAACACAAAATTAGAAACTTTTACATATTTAATCATCACAAGCTACTGGAAAATCAAACATGTAACTAGATAAAATAAAAGTTTGAATTTCCTGTTAAAGTGTACTTACGAGGCGTGTTGCTGGCCATCCTGTTGTTTTTAAGTAGTAAGTCTGGAGCTCTTTCACCGTTGATGTCTGTTAGTTGAATAATTTCATTTCTATTTAAGTCTTGATATAGTCTGCTTCCTGCCCCTGCCATTAGACGCTGCTGACTGGTGAAAGGACTTCATTGAGGTTTTAATCCTCAGTAGTTGAAATAACAGGACATGACATATTTTAAACTAAATTTTTATTGCATCTGCACAATAAAGCTATTAAGAGTTTATTATTGTTTTACAACTCATTCAACGCGTTTCATAATTGTTTCAATAATCAGAAATTATTTGTAGAAGATTGTAAAAAAAAAAGCTTGAGGTAAAAATGAGAATACTTGAAATGTTTGAGAGAATGTTTATCTTTGATCTCAGCATCTGCCTTGAAAATACTTTTATTTTGTCTTTACACCAAGGAGGAACTCACATTATGCGTCTGAAATCTGAGTTGAGCTCTAAAGGATAACCTGCATAACTCGCTCCAACTAGTGAAATAAATCTAGTTAAATCTACTGAAGAAACAACTGATTAAACACTGCCACCTAGAGGCTTGTATGGTCAGTACAAAGGAAGATTGAAGCATTACTTTAATTTGTTGCTCTTATTCTGACACTTCCAACCCTGGAAGAGATGGGCTCTGAAGGCATACTGACACTTTATTTATACTTTATTTATTTTAAGTTCAACACCTGTAGGCGAGGACAGAGTTAATGCTCTGAGCTACTCAAATCGTTCTGTACCAACAGGTGTCAGGACTTTTGTTTTCATTTATATTATTAACCAGCAGCTTAATTGTCCTTCAAACAGATTTTACCCAAAGGTTAAGATCTAAGTTATTGATTGCTATGACGCATTGTTTGATAACTAGGTTCAATTTGAATGCATAGCTATTGAATTGACATGTGTTATGTAAAGTGCCTTGAGAACATTTATTGTGAAATGGTCCAAAATAAATAAAATTAATTCCAATTAGATTTAGTGGTCTGGTTCATTGCTGCCATAAAAAAATTAAAATTAAAGATGGCTATATATCAACTTTGAGAATAGTAGCTTCAATCCCCTCATGCATCACAATGAAGATGCTGACATACGACTCAAACTTTTGCCTGACATAAAAGTCCCACAGAAAACAAGCCGACATATGAGAATATGCAAGTTTAATAATCCTGTCATAAGAAAATTTACGGCCTGTGATTAACGTAATTCAGGCCCTCTTGCATTATTTTAGTGAATTTGGGACTTTTTAAGTGCGCATACAATATTTTAGACTCTAATTACAATTCATTTAAATAGAAGTATGCTGTAGGCAACTGAACAGTATGAAGTCATCAGAATAAAAAAGAATCAAGGCATGAGATTTTGTCTGTGGGATTTATTTTATTAATCATTCATTGGATTTGCACTTTGACAGCTCACAAGATGTTTCCTCCTCTGCTGTGTGAGTTCTCATATGTCTGCCCAGGCTGCCACATTCAGTAAAAGATTTACCACACACCTTACAGGAATGGGGCTTTTCGCCTGTATGAGTTATCATGTGTTCAGTCAAATTGCTGCCGTACCGGAAGGAGTTACCACAAACTTTGCAAGTATACGGCTTCTCATGTGTATGACTCCTCATATGTCTGGCCACTCTGCTACATTCACTAAACGACTTACTGCAAACTTCACAGGAATATGGCTTCTCGCCTGTGTGCGTTCTCATATGAATAGTTAAATGACAGTTTTTCCTGAAGAACTTACCACAGACTTCACAAGAATATGGTCTTTCTCCTGTGTGGATTCTTGTGTGAACATTCAAACGACTACTAAAAGCAAAAGACTTGCCACACACTTTGCAAGCAAAGGGTTTCTCCCCAGTGTGAGTTCTCATGTGCCGAGCCATGCTACTGCTGCCACTGAAGGATTTACCACACACCTTACACATATGCAGCTTCTCACCTGTATGGGTTCTCATGTGACCCGCCAACTCACTGCTCTGTCTGAAAGATTTACTGCACAATTCACAGGGGTAGGGTTTCTCACCTGTGTGAGCCTTTATGTGACGTGCTAACTCGCTACTCCGCTTATATGATTTATCACAGAGTGTACAAGGATATGGCTTCTCTCCTGTATGAGTTTGCATATGAGACGTCAAGTATTTACGTCTTGTGAAGGATTTGCCACATATTTCACAAGAAGGAACATTTTTATGACGTTCTAGTTCTGAACTGTCCACATTGTCCCTGTGACTTCTGATGTCCAGAAGCTCCAGATCTTTACTGGATCCTGAGTCTTCCTGGTTGCTTCCTTGTTCATGACGGTTCGCATCTTCAGGATGGATCCCAGAGAGGTTCTGGTTCTTGTTTGGTTCTGGTTCAGTGCTGTCCCTTAGCTCAACAGGTTCCTGTTTTAGTACAATCTGCTTTCCATCCTGATCACTGCAGAAATCCTCCTGCTCCTCTTTAATCTGTATAAGTTCTGGCTCCTCCTTTGACTCCATCCTCTGCTCCAGTTCTGGTTCATTATGGAATATTTCCTCCTCAGCAGGAGTCACCGTAGAGATGTTGCTCTCCTGCTTCAGTGAAAGCTGCCCATCATCCTGAAAGATCCTCACTTCAGTCTGATCTTCTTTAATTGACAGAGGTTCTGGTTCCTCTTTCGTCTCAGTGAACTGTTGGGGATCCGTTTCTCCCGGTTCCTCTTTTATGTCTACAGGATTTGAAATCTTGTGATCAACAATTGAGTTCCTCTCTTTGGTTATTAACAGATTATCAGCCAGAACCTCCCATGTAGTGATAGACATGACGCTGTGGAAGGCCTGAGGACATAAAGAGTAAAACAGTGAAGACATCACTGCAAAACACATTTAATGAGATCTAAAAACACAACTAGATGTAGCAGTTATAACATCTGGACTGCTGAGCACATCCAAACTAAGCTGCACCCACTAACTTTAAAATGAAATGTAAATGTAAGATATTGACACAGAAAGACTCAACTTTCAGTGAAACATTTAGCGGTAAAACAGAAATATGTACCGTAAATACTTTTCTAAACCATGACGTAATAAGGCTGCTTTAGAATAAAAAAAGAAAATAACAATAAAATATATTTCTATATTCTATATTGCACATTGTTTTGTGGTGGATGAACTCTAATTATTATCATGTATACTGTTCGGTTGTTTTACGAAATTAGCAGGTCTCAGTGCAAATGTAGTTTTCCAGCTGACTTGTGTTGCTACCTGAAGAAACGTTGCCACTCACAAGATGGTGGCGGCGCTGACGTATTGTTTCTACGAGGAATCTACTCTTCATTTTTGTGCTGCATCAAATTATTTAACCTCCAGCTAATCTCACTCTGATTGCTGCTTCCCTCTCAAGATGGTGGACAAGCGGAGACGATCAATGCGGTAAATAGTTAATATTTACGGTCACAACCGATTAAAGATGATTCTCTTACCTTACTAACTTATTGTTATTGTTCTTCAGAAAAACTGCTGGGAACAGAAAAGCGTCCAATAAATGTCCAACACTCTTCGCCTTGAGACCTTTTAGGGCTGTTCTCCAGAAGGAAACTGGTTACCTTCGCTTCCCAGTTAGCACAGAGGCTAACTGGTCTCTTTCAGGCTGTTGTTGCAGCTAAAACAGAGGAAATGACCGTTAAATGAAGGATTCAAATACGAGCAGAGTCAAAGAGGAGGCATTATAGGTAAAGGTTTCTGAAGAGCTGATAAGTACCAACTGTTTATCTTCAACCGTTCCTGTTGGTAACACTCTTCTGGGTTCATTACTGCCACCTGGCGGCCAGGAGTGTTTGTTTCAATAGTGCATTTCAGCAACAGGGAAGCTCAAAGTGATAAAACATAATAAACAAGCACAAAACAATGTTTACATTAGATTGGCAAAATAAAGTTTTTGAAACAAAGAAAAGTTGTAATCCAGACTAAAATTAATCAATTTCCTTGTTATTATTAACCAAAGGAAAATCTAAACAAACTGGGTTTTTAGCCGTGATTTAAAGGAACTCAGTTTTACAGTTTTCTGGATGTTTGTTCCATATTAGAGGAGCATAAAAACCAAATGCTATAATAATGGCTTCTGTAAAGACATTCAAAGAGTAAAAAATGTGAATTACAAAGAAAATTATAAAGAATTAGTCTTTGTTCAATCAAGGAAACATTTTCTATACTGCAGTACATTTTAAATAAGTAAACAGAATCAATTAATGTAGAAAAAGTCAATATATTAAATATTCCAAGCATCATAAGCAGGACAACTCTACATCTGAAACATCAAATGAATGAATAATATAGATATTAGAATAAAAATGTTTTGTTCTTTATTTGAGATGAATAAGTAAATGTACTTCAAAGTTCCTGTTTCACAAGTTATTTTAATTTATGATAAAAGGTATAATAATGTAAAGACTTGCATCCATGTGTGGGGATGTACTAATGTTAGAATTTTTTGTGTTATTCTTACATTTATAATATCAAACATTTATTATTACTTTACATCATTAACCCAACATTTTATTGTTATTGAGATTATTTAAAGTGTTCTCTTCCTTCTGTGTGTATAAACTGACCTGAAGGCCCGTCTGCCTGTTCATGTCAAACAGTTATCTGTGTTTCCCAGACCTTAAATTATGTTTCCACAGGTTCCTCCTTATCAACCAAATACTCCCTACCTTAGAAACTGCCTGTGCGCAGAAGGAGTTTGTTTCTCCCGTCTTGCTTTCCTCCCTCTTTTCCCTGATAATAAAAGACGAGCTCGAACTGGAAGTTACCAGAACGTGCAGTGGGCAGCTTGCCGGAGCGGTCCGCTGTGTCTTCTCCTTTCATGAAAGCTTGTTAAAAACTCACATAAGTTGTCTGTGGTTCATTTTACATAGGTTATCGAAAAACACCTATCAACTAACTTATCCTTCACCATGTAATGGTTTTTTAGATAACTTTGTTTCAGGTCTTAGTGAAATAACATTTGAATAAAGTCTGACTGATTTAAAGGAAAATATAAAGAAAGGCAGAAAAGTCAAGACTTTA